CGCACAGCATCCTTCACATCGGGTCCGGGCTCTGCGCTAAGGGACTGTGCGCGCCAAACCTTCCACTGAGCGAGGTCGCGACGCTGCCGCTCCTCCGCCGCCTGGCGGCCGACAGCTTCCTGTTCTTCGCGTTGACGCGCTGCCTCGGCTTCCCGTCGCTGACGGGCTCGCTCCCGGTCGATCGCCAGCGACCGCTCGTAGGCGGAGTCTTGTTCTTCGCGGAGGCTGCGCGAAGCTTGCTGCTCGGCGCGGGAGGATCGCAGTCGCTCGATTGGTTCTTGGTTCGAGGTGACGACTGTCCGGAGCTTGTTCACAACCTCAGATGATGAGGTGATACCTGCAATTCTGCCCACGACTGACATAGCGGTTGATGACACATTCGGGGTGTGGACGACGACTGCTGCGAAGGGGAATTTCGTCACGCGCAACGAATTGGCTACCTGGTAGGCCTCGGAATCCTGCACGTTACCTCCCCATACCAGCATGTTGTTTTGAGGGTCATTGATGAACTCCAACACTTCCGTCGCCAACAGAGTATCACGGACCCAGCTATTCGTATCATCGTGCTCTGGAGCCAGTAGAACGACCAGTAGGAACTTCAAGTCGCGGTGGGCCTTCTCTAGCGCCATATTGTATCCATTCTCCAGGAACGGGATCGGGTGAGAGCCATACTCCTCTTCAAACTCACGGATGAATCGTGCGGCTGTATCCTTGGGGGCCAGGGTCCGACGGCCAGTGGTATTCCGGCGGGCACCTTGCAGTGCGGGGTTTGCGGTCGCATTGAACAAGCGTGGCAAGAAAGGGAATAACGTCCCAAATAGGCGGAAAGAACTGCAGAGGAGTCGGTAGACTAGATTGAACGGGGTGAAAAGTAGGGCGAGGATGAATGGCGGACGGTAAACGGGTTGATCTCCGGATTGTGTGTCAACTCGCGGGGCGGGGTCTGTAGCACGAGCTGCGCGAGAAACCCGAGACAGCTGTTCAGTCAGGTCTTCAGTCATGAGGTTTTGGGTTCTTCGGGTTGGCTGCGGAGGCGGCGTCTGGTGAAGAGCTGAACGCGCCTCTTCGAGCGGATCGGGGCCTTCGCCGTCGAAGAACTTGGATATGGCGATCTAGTTGCGGGGTCAGTCAGGAGTTCAGTTCGCACAAGGATCAACCAACCTGAACATTCCATTGGGACCGTCGCAGCAGAGGAATTGCTTCTGAAGTTTCCTGGCTCGTCACGGCCATGTACGTCTCTAGCGCAGTTCTCTCGCTCTCCGAGAGCTGGTCTAAGTCGAGCTCCGAGGACATGGCGACGATGAGCTGTCCATACAAATAAAAGAAGTTGAAAGATCACAATGCATCCATGAAGACAGTAGACTGGCAAGTAGTAGACAGTAATTTGGAGAGGCAATGACGAAGCTGGCCTTGAGCTCATTGACGTCCTGACCGCCTGGCCCGTGCGCTATCCCCCTTCACTCGAGTTCGTCCCTCGCCCCGCGTCTTCATTTCCATCCGTACTGTCGCTCTCAATCATTCTCTGGGATGAGAGAGGGCCTTGGACTTATATTTATTCATTCATGCCTATTGTTACCGGCAGAGTTCCCGACCTCCGTGGGTGATCCCGGAATTGACCCGCCGTCAATCGTCGAACGCGTTGATATCAGATCGACGGGGAATGCGGTTTCCTCTCGATATCATCCTTTGCTCCACACCGAGTCTGGTTTCAATGGGGATCTTCTTGCGCTGATCCGCACCGTCTCGTGGACATCAGTCATACACCATGGCATCTGCCGGAAAACCTGCACTGGAGGATGCTCGTCGAACAACCGGTTCGCCGAAAATGAAGAGCCGAGGTGAGCGCAAAGTCATCGACAATCCACTCACTTCTTCCCGAAGGGATTTACCCAAGCGAGATGGCCTGAGCAATCCGGACGCATAAGCCGGCTTTGTGATGACGCTAACAAGGAGCTTCCCAGAGAATGCGAAAGACACTCTGTGTCGCAACGTGACGATATACGGGCGATGTCGCTATGAAGATAAAGGTATCGTCGACCCTGTTCACGCCATGGGTAACGTGAATGTTGAAGCTGATCTGGATTCCTCCAAGGCTGCGCTTTCAACCATGACCCAACAAAACTTAACGCCAATCAATCGGACAGGTGAATATGGCGGTGCAATATCGGTCATTCGATGAACAAGCGCTGACTGGACTTCTTGCGCTTGGTAGCAAGAAACGCTTCAATGTAGACTCACCCAGTTTCACACCATCCTTGCTTTCTGGAAATGGCGTGGCTGGCCCAAAGAAGTCGACTGCGATATCCCCCAAAGCTGCCAGTGCAGCTCCCTTTCAGCCTCGAGGTGCCTCATCAAGTATGTGATCAATGGAGAGAAATAGAGAGACATCGACTGACATGACAAAGGATCGAACACAAGTACGCCTGGAGTGCGAGCAGAAGCAGGAGGAGAGTGGGCAGTGGCAGACGTCCAAGAATTTGTCCCCCAGGGGTTCGAGCACGTGGTAAGTTGGAAGTCGAATCTCCAGTCGTTCTTGCCACCCTCGTCTTTCCTTTTTGGGAAACTGGTCTTGTTGTTGTTTTCTTCGCGCTCTCGATCTCCCTGCCGTCAGCAATATCATCTTCCCTTTGAATTGTTTCGTATCACTCCGTCAAGATGGATGAAGGCTTTCCCAATATGTCTACGAGCAGCCTGAATGTTCTGGCCGAGGATTTCGATCCTATCCCAGAACACCATCGTCCCAACTACCGCAGCTCCAGCCTCGATCCTAACTTTCGCTTTTCGAACATGGGCCCTCCTACTAACTACCCTGTCCAGGCCTCTCTTCCAGGCAATGGCAATGGTGCCATCACGTCCCCGAATGCCTTTGATCCCTTTGTGGCTGCCCCATCTCCTATGACCCCCGGAGCAGTCGGCCCTGTCTCGGCCAACCCTTACGCCCATGACCCTGGTGCCATGGGAGGCGCATTCTTTGCGAACCAAGCTGGGTTCCAGCAGCCGGTAAAGATGATACGCGTATTTGCCATGGCTTCAGATTACTTACGCTGCAGCAGGTCCAGTACCATCTCTATGCCCCCATCGGCCCTCATAATCAGAACACTCTGGGATATCAGCGAAATGTCCATGATCTCTTTCTTCCTAACGATCTCCGTGAAGAATTGCAGAAGAAATCTGCGGCGACCCTGCAGACCCTCCCAAGTATGTTAAGCCACCCCTCACAATCGGAATCAGACTAACAATTCTAGACACCAACCTCCCTCCTCAAGTTGACTACTTCCACTCCCTTGTTCCGCTGGATCTTAATCATCAGAAGAATGCTGCGACCTTTGGCTACCCGAGCTGGATCTACAAGGCACAGTCTAGCAAAGATGGTGACTTTTATGCCCTTCGGCGTCTTGAGGGTAAGAGAATATCCAATAGTATCTTTGATCTTGACTGACCAATATAGGTTTCCGCTTAACCAATGAGAAGGCTATCCGGTCGGTTCAGGCCTGGAAGCGTGTTTGCAGCGGAAGTGTGGTGACTGTCCATGATGCTTTCACCAGCCGGAGCTTCCAAGACAGCTCTTTGATTGTCGTTACCGATTACCATCCCCTGTCCAAGACACTTGCAGAGCAGCATCTGAGCGCTGGAGCCCGCTACCAAAACCGAGGCCAGAACGCTCCCATTCCTGAGCAGGTGCTCTGGGGCTACATGACTCAGATCGCGAATGCACTCAAGGCCATTCACTCGCAGGGTCTTGCTGCCAGAGTTCTTGAGCCAGGCAAGGTCTTGATTACCAGCAAGAATCGCATTCGCTTGAATGCCTGTGCTGTTCTGGATGTGGTGCAGTTCGACTCCCAGCGGACTGTGGATGACCTCCAGCGCCAGGATCTGGTGAATTTCGGACAACTGATTGTCACTCTTGGCGCCAACACCCCTACCGTCATGCACAACCCTACCAAGGCCATGGAGCATTTCACCCGTGCTTACAGCCCGCAGATGAAGAACTCTGTGTTCTGGCTGCTGAGTGGAATGCAAAAAGATCAGGAGCGAGCCATCGATACTTTTATTACTGGAATCTCATCTCAGCTGATGTCGACTTTTGACTCGGCTCTTCACATGGATGATCAGCTTACCTTTGACCTCAGCCGCGAGCTGGAGAATGGACGACTTGTGCGCCTGATGGCCAAGCTCAACTTCGTCAACGAACGCCCTGAATATGAATTGGACCGGCAGTGGTCTGAGACTGGAGAACGTTACTTCTTGAAGATGTTCCGCGATTTTGTTTTCCACCAGGTGGATGCCCAAGGTGATCCGGTGCTTGATTTGGGACATGTTTTGATGTCCCTGAACAAGCTTGATGCGGGAACTGATGAGAGAATCACTTTGATCAGCCGTGACGAGCAAAACATTTTCATTGTTACTTACAAAGAGCTCAAGAAGAGTCTTGAGTCCTCCTTCCAGGCTCTCATGAAATCAGGAAGACGGATGCATTAGCCTGGAACTCGACGTCTTCGGTGGTCTTCGGACACGCCACGCCACGATTGCGATTTGCTTGTTTTTTACCTCCAGACCGTTGCCATACCCATCCATGCTTGGCAAATGCCAACCCGGTGGATTGCTGTCTAGGATGCAAATGGTGTTACATGTTTCATTTCGCAACCAAGTTGCCATTGATGTAATGGAAATAACAACCACATAAGAATGAAGAAATTCAAATACTGCTTACAGGTAGACTAAATACTGTAGTGTCTACAGTTCCGAGTTCTCAATTGATCCACTCTGATCCGCCATCTAGAGTCTAAGAGGAACGACCCAGAACCCCATAGCAATATATAGTCCAACAAAGCCAAGATACACGGATGCACGGTACTACGGTCTTCAAGCTATATCCATATGCAAGTCTACTTTTGACTAGTTGCCTGAAGGGAACGAAAAACATCGAAGACAGTCGAAAGAAAGTACCACTTGCTCTGTTCAACTTACACGTATATTCAATTTCATAGCTCTATCTACACTTAATCCAAATCCGGCACAGGCAACCCATTAACAATCTTAACCTTCCGACCAAGCTTATCCAGCGCAACCTTGGAATTATAAGCGCGCAACTGGCTAGTCTCCTCATCGGAAACAAGCACAAAGTCATAAGTGAGCAAAGCATGTCCCTCAGGAACATCATACTTCTTCGACAATTCCGGGCCGACCTTTCCAATATCAACGGTAAGGGAATCCTTAACACCGAAGACAGCATCCGAAGTCTCATAAGGATCATTACGAAGGTAGAGAGCCCTGTATAAATCAGCAAATCGTCAATCCAAACGGAAAGAAGAGAGAAACCCACGTAATCAAATGATCATACCCCTCCTTCTCAAACATAAAATGCATATGCGAAGGCCGGTACGGATGCCGATGCAGCTTCTTCAACAACCGTCCAACAGGCCCATCATGCGGAATAGGATACGGCACGGGCGTAATCGCCTTAAACCAAAACACGCCATCACTCCCAGACCGCATAATACAACGCCCATCAGGACCCTCCCGTCCAGCATACTGAACATCATAATGACCCGACGAATCCGTCTCCCAGATATCGATCTTAACACCCTCAACAGGCCGTCCCTCCGTATCACGCAGGGTACAAACAACAAGCAAAGGTTCACCCTCGGGGTCATGGGACATGGAGTCTCCGGCACTCATTTCCTCGGCATCGTGCGTGTGGAACGGGCCGAGGACTGTGCCTTCTGTTGAGCCTGGTGGTTTGGGGTGGTCGATTGAGTCGACGAGGATTGAGAGGCCCAGCACATCAGACAGGAGGATGTATTCCTGTCGGACATCTGTGGTGATTTGGCCTACTTCTGTTAGGAAGCGCAGGCCGGTCATCCATTCGTCGCTGCTGAGTCGGGTTTCGCGGGCGAAGTCGTGCAGGTGAGTTACTAGGCGTTCCAGGATGTATTTCATGCGTTGGTCTTCGCAGAGGCTATTGATTCGGATTACATTTTCCGTTATGTTGTCCACTGTTAGGTTTTTCATGGGGGGGATCTTGACTTGGGAGGGATCCATGGTGTCGGGGAGCAATGTCGATGTCAATTGAGGGGTTGTAAGAGAGTTGAGGAGAGAAAGAAAAGAAGTCTGGAGGTTACAGGAGTTATATCATGACTTTTAGTTCGGATTTATGGCATTCGGCAGTTCCGACGGGAAGGAAAAAGCCGAATTGGTCAATCAGCAGCCGTCAAAAAGAAATCAACACCCCGCACCCCACTCGGGTATCCCCCGCCAAAGCTACACGTCCATCTGGTAGATATGCTGGAATTAACCAATCTAACCCTACATGTAAAACTATATGGATAACTTATATCCAGAATAAAGCCGGATATGGCAGAGAGTATATCCGGTCGCCCCACACTTGGTCATCACTCACTAAGCATTGCGGGGTATGATTAAGTTCTTTATAATATCAGTTAGGGCTGGGAGTAGACAGAGTACAGTGCATGTACTATGTAAGGAGTCATTTATACACAGAAGTGGAATGGAGGGTTATGACTAAAAGATAAACGCTAATGATATTCAGGGATATATGACACAGTACACAAACACCTAATCCCACCGAATTCGCCAAATACAACCTATATGAACAAAGAAGCAGAAGTAGAGAAGTAAAACATAGGCACAACGAAACTCAAACAAGGTAGGAGAGCTATGCCTGGACCATGCGACGGTCCCGGTCACGATCTCGGTCATGGTCATGATCGTCTACCTTCCGCGCTTGAGAGTGAGAATGGGAGTGAGAGTGAGAATGAGGATAAGCACCAGGGCCAGCACCAGCACCAGCACCAGCACCAGCACCAGCACCAGCAGTGACATCAAGAGCAGCAACGCCAGAAACCGGTACAGGACCACCCACACTCGAGTTCGAGCTCTGGTTCGAGCTCGGGTTCTCCACAGCGCGCTCGGCACCACGTTCCTTCTCCTGCACAGCAGCCGCAACACGAGTATGATGATCAACCGTATCAAGAATAGCCTGCATCAAACGCTGATTCGCATCAGGATCTTCCTCCTCAGGCCGAGGAACACGAGCAGCAGCGGGAACACGACGATCAGGATGATCCCGGCCCCTCCCCTCCGTCTCGCTAACAGCACGACGAGGCGAGTTATCCGTCGAGGGTAATTCCATGGGAACTTTAGAACCAGGAACAGGGTTTGGAGCAGAAGGGGCGGACTCGCGTCGACCGTTGTAGTAGGAATTAGCATCTGCGACGGAATCAAAGGGTTGTTCGCGGATACGTTCACGTTCCGCGGAGATGGGAGGCAAGGGACCGAGACCGAATTGGGGTGGGGTGATGTTTGCGCTGGAACGGTCTGTTTCCATGCGGTCGTGGGAGACGGAGGCGGTCGTGGTTGATGCGCGCATTGCTGCGACTTCGTCTTCCTTGACGTCGCGCCAGGAACACTTGGCGTGTTTCTTAGTGCAGCCTACGCAGGCAGTTAAGTTCTTAAGGCAATCCATATGGAGACGGCGGCAGCGGTCGCAGGGTGGGATGACGCGCTCGCCGCGCTGGAGTTCTTCCATGCGGGCGATCATTTCGAGCTTGAAGGGACCACCGTCGTCTTTTTCTTGGTGGGTTGCTTTTGGTGGGGGGAGGAGGGAGGAGGGCGTGCTTGGGATGGCGACTGGGACTGCGGTGGCGGCGGTGTAGGGGCTGAAGTCTGCTGAATCGGAGATGCGAGGTCGAGGGCGTGGTTGGGGGTGCGCTGGGGGTGCGCCGGTGTCGTCGTAACCGCGGGCTTGGCGGTCTGCTGTTGTGAAGAACTTCTTCATCAGGTCTGCGCGAGTAGTGGGAGAGGCGCCTTTTATCGAGGTCCCATTGATCATAGTTACATTATCCGTATTGGAGTGGGAGAACATGAACTGTGACGAGAGTGGGTTCTCTTCGTGCTCGCCTTCAGGACGGTGGGCGTTGACGGCGAGGAAACCAGCTGTGGAGGCATGAGAGGATGCAGCACCATTGCCTGGGCCATAGACGTTGGGATCACGCCAGATGTCGGCGCTCGGTTGAGTTGACGAATGCAGAGTGGCATCGTTCTCTCGGCGAGTAACAATCGCGTTACGGCGATTCTTCAGACGATGGTTAAGCTGTCTAGCTCGAGCAGACACTAGACGAAAGGTTGTCAGTGGACATCTCCAAACATGGCATGCAACACCTACCCTGATCAGCCATCTGAGTGATATGCTGCAAGTTCTTCTCAAGAATCTCCAGCGCACCCAACTCCTTCTCCTCATCCTCGATGATAGGCTGGGGCGGGATCATCTTCTGGGGCATGCCAGAGGCAATCAAGACGAAATCCTCCTCACTGATCTCCACGCGACACTGCTTGGTGTAAAACTGACACACTCTTACACCATTGCGCGACTTCTCTAGGTTGAACTGCTCCGGCTTATTCTTCGCAAACTCAACCACATCCAGCCAGGTCACCGTGGGACCGTCCTTGCCATGCGACTTGAGAACTTGCGGCGGGCCATCGAATAGACGCTCGAATCGCTTGATCAAGATCGGGCCCAGCGGACATGCGCCAAGATTGCCGGCGATGCTTTCATGGCGGTGTAGCACGCCGTCGTATTCACCGAGCAGATGAATGATCGCGGGCATGGTATCATCGACAGAAACCAGCGGGAGATTATCCGGGTATTGGCGCGCGAGGTAGTTGATCTGCAGGTGGCTCGAGAGGGTTTTCTGGACTTTCGACGAGGCAACATGATCGGCGGTGGGAGACCGGGGCCGTTTGTTAGACGGTTCCGGGGCGTGAGAATCCATCTGGGGATTGAGGTGGGCGTGGAAACCCGGGAGTGGAGGGCTTATCTCGGGGGTGGAAAGAATGGGGGGCGAATGGGGTGTAGGGAGGAAGGTGACAGCGGAAAGGGTATAAGAGCGCGGAAAATATTGAGCGCGCGGATAAAAACCGGCGCGAATTCAAGTTGGATCCGAAGCTACATTCATGGGTCAAAGAGAAGAGAAAGTAAGAGAAGAAAGAGAGGAAAGAGAGGAAAGCGCCTGTCTCGACGGAACAGCGCACGGGAGTGGAGAGGAAAAACGTGATCTTTGGCTGCCCCAATCCTTTGGCCCCGGAACTGATGGGAATTTGTTTAATTTTCTTTTAATATGGAAATTGTGGGAAAACCGGCAATTCCTATTGCAATGGCGCTGGACCAGTATCGTACAATAGGCCCTTTGGTACCTAGTACAGTCCCAGCGGAGTCCCGCCGGAGGGTTCCGCTGAGATGCAATACGCCCTCTACATGCACCTCTATAGCCTTACCTAGCCACTACACAAGCTACAAGTAATCCAGAACTGCCAATGCTCCCACTCAGTAGGTCCGTTCACATCCTGCCGATCCCCCAAAATCAAGCCTTGAGCCTTGTGGAGGTGTCCCCATCTCTGGTTTCGCTGATGCCTGAAGGTCCCTTACTGAAACATTACGCGCGGTTCACTCGGGAGCTCGGAAGAAATTGTCACAGGCTATATGTCAGTGGTGTTACATGTACAATCACAATGTAACTTAGCTTACAATGTACATTGTACATAGTTGTCGAACAGAGAAAGGTTGGAATGTCCGAGACTCCATGTATACAGTAACGGAGCGGTAAAATACCTCCGGGCGGGATCCCTCACGCGGGCGCAACCCTCAATACACGGTAATCTCCGTAAGGCGGGCAGAGTGTCTTCCCTGGTAAAATCCCTCATACACGCACCACCTTCCCTACACCTCTCCCCTAGCCATATCGACGGGTAATCGGAACTGCTCCTGTTTACCTCGCTTAACTTTATTTGTTTTTTTCCCTTCTCTTTTTCTCTTCCATTTCCAGTCATGTCCGAGCGAGGCTCGTTCCGCGGGGGTCGTGGTCGTGGTCGTGGCGGACAGGCCCAGCAGAAAAGTGGCGGTGGTGGCGCACAGGAGAAGCCTAAGAAGGAAAACATCTTGGACCTCAACAAGTATATGGACAAGGAGGTTCAGGTGAAGTTCAATGGTGGTCGTGAGGGTATGTTTAGTTGATTTTTCTTTTCTTTTCTTTCCTTTTCTTTCTTTTCTTCTTTTGTTTTTCTATTACTTGCATACTTGAACTATATACTAAACTTCACTTCTAGTCTCCGGCACCCTCAAGGGCTACGACCAGCTGATGAACCTGGTTCTCGACGATGTGAAGGAAACCATGCGTGGTAAGTTCCCACCACTTGAAGCTTAAGCTTAAGCTTCAAGCTTCCACCTTCACCAGTTAAAGCGATATACTAACCATCATCCCAGACGATGAGGGCAACAAGACCACCCGCTCACTGGGCCTGATCGTCGCCCGAGGCACTTTGATCGTACTGATCTCACCCGCCGACGGCAGTGATGAGATCCCCAACCCCTTCCTGCAAGCAGAGGAGTAAACCTGCACTCTCCACTCACTCTGTCTGGAAGAAGTCCGGAGTTCCAAACAGGAGTCTCCCTAATGTCAATTTCAATGCCAATGCCAACCCCTGACTTTCGGCGTGCGGCCGGAACTTTACGCTCATCAGTAGCTACGATGGGAACGAACGCAATATGATGGTTTTCACTTTGGTTTTCACTTTTTCCCCACCCTTTCTGGGTTTTTTTTTTTGACTTGGAATATATGTGTATGGTAGGGCTGTTGCCATAGGATGGGACAGGACTATTTTCTTTTATTTCTTCTCCCATGTCAAAAGGGAAGGATGGGACGGGATGGGATGGTCTAATTTTTGGGATTGGCAATCCCAAGCAAAGATAAAAAAATGAAAGAAAGAAAGAAAAAAGAGAGAAAAAGAGTATCAAAATCAACATGGAATTTCCAAGCAAACAGCATAGGTATCATAGATTCAAAAAACCAACGCACAAACTATACAAAGCCCTCTGCCCTTTCTCGGACAAATCAGCGCTCAGATCTACATTACTGGCCCACTTCCCCAGGCCCCACCGTCTCCCCAAACTCAGAGTCATCGGTGGCATCGTCAAACCCATCAGCCTGCAAGGAAACCTGTTTCGGCTGTGCATCCTTCAACCGCCTCACGCCCTCGGCCTCTTCAACCCATGGCCCTGCTTTCTCCATGCCATCGATGTACTCGGCGCCGATACGCAGGTTTAGACCTGCACTGAGGGCACGCTCGATGCGCGTCTCTCGTGTCTGCGACACGAGAGTTCGGAAGACGTGCACGAAGAAGCCGCCGAGGATGTCGACGCTCCAGTCCTCCGGTACGAGCTCGAGAACCTCACGGACGTCGAACCAGGCCGCGAAGCGGGCGAGGAGATCGCTTGTGCGCTCGATGCGGTCTGATAGGTCTTTGATTTGGAGAAATTCATCTAGCAGATGACGGAAGAGTGAGGATTGCAGGGTATGTTCTGCTAGTTCTGGTTGGGTTCCTGTTGAAGAGGGAGAGCTGCGCGGGCCGCCGAAGAGGCAGTATCGGATTGCGGAGTCGTAGTCGCCTAGGCCGTGGGTGAGGAGGCGGAGGGCGGCGCGGTGGTGGCCTTGGAGGCCGTCTAGGATGATGCATTCCGAGACGAGCTCGTTTTGGAATGGTTCGATGCGGGTTAGGACGGCGGGGATTGAGTAGCTTATTCCTGTTGGGAGGGGTTGGGATGAGAATTGGGAGCTGGAGATTCCGCCTAGGAGTTGGAGGAGGCGGAGGCGGGATTGCCACCACGGTTCTGCAGGTGTGTTTTCCGTGATGAAGTTCAGGTATGTTGGTTTCGGGGCACGTAAGGCCCGGTAGGTTGAATAGGAATCGGCTAGGGATGCTCGTGCTTCTGGGGATGACTCGAGAACGGAAATCACTGTGTCCAGGTAGTATGAGATCAGGTCGTCGGCATATTGTGCGTACTGAATTCATGGTTAGTTATGTTTATACAAGAGGGGAGGGCATCTCACATTCTTGGCAAACACCAGATGCTCCAGGTAGGCCTGAACAGCATTGGGGGCCCGCTCTTTGAGCAAAGAAACAACATCCGCTGGTTCCAGCCTGACCCGACTGGCATTGTCCGCAAATACCTGGATGCCCAGGGCGGGATTCCGCCCAGCCAGCCAAGCACCATATTCCTCGACCAGCTGTGCATCCTTGATCTTCACCAAGTACCTACGCATCTGCGTTTCCACGCCAGATGCGGAGACCTCTCCGCCGGCGTCCGTCTCCCCGTCCACAATTCTCCGCCAGGTCTTGAGGACATTCCGAGACATCTTTTGGCTCTGGTACAAGCGGCTTAGCACATATAGCCGCTTGTATGTCTCGAGTAGCATCACTGCCCGATCGAAGTTGCCCTTCCAGTTATCAACTAATCTGTTCAGCTCGGAGCGAAGAGGTGATGATGCGCGCTGGTCTGTTGTCAGGTAGGCATCTTGTTCAAGGGTCAAATGCAATAGTGCAGCATCAGTGCTGTCCAACACATATGATTCATCGGTAATGCTGCCGTATCCTCGCTTTTGTTGCCAAGACAGGAGGAAGCGCTTCACCATGTTAAGGACTGGACTGCGGGACGTATCCAGCCCAGACGTATCAACGCCTGTCTTTCCTACTTGTTGAGTGTACTTGACCGCCATTGATGCCAATCCGGCATGTATCCATATACCCTGCGGGCCCTGTAGCACCTCGCATCGTAGCAGGGGAATAAGCAGCAAGGCCAGACGAGGATCAAGGTTACCTGCCACCAGTGCTTGTTCGGTCTGCTTGATTGCGGAATCACTACGGTCGTTCGGCTGCATAGATAGAAGGTCTCCATAGAGTAAGAGGCACGCCTTTTGCTTCACGTAGCTGAGCCCAATGAACTCAGCTTCGGTCTTTGGCTCTGTGTCCTGAACTGATAGCAGCAAGTCCAAAACAGCATCTCTCTGTAGCACTGTGTGGTCGCTTTTGTTTGTCTCCTGCGCCTTCTGCAGAGCGTCCTCGAGTTGGACCACCAAAGGGTTCTGTAGGACACGCCATATTTGAGAGCCAGACCACAGAATGAGACTGCTCTGAGCCTTGCCTAGTCCATGTGCGAACTTTGCTTCTTCGGCATTCCGTTGAGCCTCCCAGGTTTGCTCTGATGAGGCCTCGCCTTTTTTGGGTCCATCAGAATCGGTCAAATCTTGTGAATCGAATAGTTCCTTTTCTTTCTGCAGCTGCTCGATGGATGCGTGTGTTCTTGGATCTGCCACCGGGACATGGGGAGATAACAGAGGAGTTTTGAGGCGGACCATTTGTAACAGCTTACCAATTTCATTAAGCTCGAGATGGCTGGGGCTGAGTGTGTGCTTGAGACCAACTTGGGCGGCTCGGTCTTCTCCAGGTGGAGGGATCTCGATCCATCTTTTATTCCGCTCGATCTCGCCTGGGTCATCATCCCAGCGTTGGATTTCAAGTCGCGTTCGAGACTCCCCCTCTTCATCGTCTTCGATGACAGCGAGAACAAACTCTTCTTTGGCATCTTCATTTGGTTGGAAGATTTGATCACTTTCACCCGTATCAATTACAACTGACTTGGGGAATCGGTGGAAGTTGATCGTGCCCCGAACCACTTCGCCGTCCATGTCAACGAACATTCCAACACCCGGCTCTGTTGCCTCAGTTCCGGTGACTAGTAAGAACTCTGAGGGTGTGGGAGACACCACATGAGGCTGCAGACGCTTCGAACTTTGCTTTGTTGGTGCCGGCACAGGTGGTAATGGCTTGAGGTTGTCGTTGCTTGCAGGGTGGTTGTCTGATTCTTGGTTTTCAGGCTTGGGGGAACTTCCACTTTCACGCTCTTCCGAGCTCGATCTTCGAAGGCTCCCACTAGATGTGAAAGGATCCGGTGTCCCTGACGGTGATCTGTCTATCTGAGCCCCTTGTGCATGCGGTGAGAGCATTCCCACGAAGGTATTTGCGCTACTGCTTCGACCATGCCCACGAGGATCAACTGGCGGTGGATTCGGGTAGGATGACGAGGGAGAACGCTTAAGTGGAGTCGGTGGTGCTGGGTTCATGTCTTCGACATGTCCCGACTCGAAGACCTCGCTCGAGGAGGAAATAGGGAAGAGGGGGATCTTCTGTTGGTGCGCCACCTCAAGCAATGAATATGAGTGTGAATCAGCAGCACAGGCGATGGTTCCTCGTCGTGCCGCAACCAAGCAACCAGGGAACTCGATCTTCTTGATCCGGCGCGCCTCGTCCCCGATTTGAACCAACATTATCCTGTTCTGTACGGCGATCATCACCGTCGGGTCTTCCTCTTCCTCTGCATCCCGATTGAGATCTAGACCACCGATCCAGCGGCATTGGTTGACCTTTGTAGTTCCAAAGGCCGGGCTGAGCTCCGGCAGCATGTAGAACGTAACAGTGCCATTGCAGAGAACACATGCTTTGCCCACTGAGGATAAGATAACTATTTGCCGGACGCCTTGTTGTTCACTCCCGGCTGGGGGGCTTTGGGCGAATAGGATAGGCAATCGGGATGCCAGTATAAAGGTAGGCTCGCTGGACTCGTCTGGGGAAGCTGGCGGAAGGCATACGAAGTGCAGGATCTCGGCTGCAGAGGTGCCGATGTATAGATTCTCATCTGTTTCAGGGTCAGTGGGCATTCAATTCACAGATCATGCAGCCTTTACAGCTCTAGGTGGGTAGAGCTTACTCCAGTATTCAACGCAGGTGATGTAGACGTCGGAGCTATGCTCGGTTGCCAACGGAACATCCTCGAAGAGGGATCGTAGGACATAAGGCACAGTCCCTGGAGGACTGATCCTCCGCCTCTTGCGGGGACCAATTCCATGGTCCGAAGCCATCATGAGGCTGTAGTTGACATCTCTCCCCGCGCGATTGGAGAGTGACCAGCTAAGGCGGTCACTAGCTGGGGCCAAAGCTCAAGGGGTTCAGAGACGGCAGAATATAACGGCCACAGAACTATTTGCCAAGTATCCATTTCAAGGATTCATAAAATACGATGTTTAGGGGCTTTTATACCTTCATTTACTAATTAGTTAGTTCCTGGACAAGCATGTTCCCAGACTGCCACATATATATGAAACACTACATTATCAGCCAACATCATGTATGTAGATTGCAAGGCGGTAACCACAATCTATGTCCGATTGGCCGTTATCGCCCACTCTGCTCTACACGGATACCTCGGGACAACAGCTGTCATCTTAGGGGTATCAAGTAGACGCATTGCACAGATGCTTCATTGACGCTCCTTTTGTTGAATCCAACTCCCGTCTTTCATACATTTGATCTAACCCGACTGTATAGTCCGTACACTCGGAACAACATCGGCCCGTGCGCCGCGTGTCCTGTTCGCGATAACAGATCTCCAACTTTCCCCTTGGCTACTTGATGTGGGGTGTGCTGACTGGGGACAATGGATTCTTTTGCCATTACAGAGGGCTTGGTTCCCCAAGACCAACCTGATGTGCCATCCAGCAAATTGACCGAAGAGACCAACAAGTTTCAACGCGCCATCGCAGCCTGGAGAGGTACGTCGCCAGATCAACAGACTACGGTTGTTTCTAGTTGGCTGTGCTAATCTAGAACTATCATAGGTATCGACTTGGCCAACACGATCGCGAAACTCGACACGACAGCTTCTGACATCGTCGAGCAGCAGCGTGATGCACTTGTGCAACGAAAAGACCTCGCCCAGAAGACAAAGGACTATAAGAAGCTTGATGACGAGGCGAAGCTCGCCGAGTATAAAAGTCTACTCAAGGCGTACCAATCCTTCATCGATCTTTTGACTAACCAAGGCAAAACGTCTTCGTCCTCATTCTTGCAACTATACTCGTCACTATCCGAGGCGCCAGACCCCTACCCGCTCCTCGAAGCTTCCGTCGACTCCCTCGTTCTATCCGAAGATACAGTCCCGAAGCTGACATCGGAGCGGGATCAATTGCAAAAGTCCGTGGATCGTCTCACCAAGCAGCAAGAAGAGACCGAGAAACGCCTACAGGAGGAACGCGCTATCCGGAAGAAGTTGGAAGAAAACCAAGAATCTAGGGCCAAGGAAATTGAGGCATCGTGGGAAGCTGTCTTGGCCGAAAAGACGAACAACTGGGCTGCCAAGGAGAAAAGCTTGGAGGAAAAGGTCGAGAACCAGGAACGCTTGATCAAGGAGCTCAAGGCAAGCTACGAGGTCTCCCAGCGCCTGGGCGAGGGTGAAAGCGATGAGAATGATGGCTCGCGAAGTGGTGCCACTGCAGCCGAGCTTGAGCTTGTTTCTGCTGACCTGGAGAAGACAAGCTTAAGGCTAGCGGATGTGGAAGCACGCAATGAACAATTGCGTATCGAGCTGGCTCAGGCTGCCTCGCATTCGCACTCTGCTCCAGTCTCCGTCGAGGATGACCCTGAGTATCTTCGTCTTCAGTCGGAGAACTCTTCCTTGTTGCGGAAATTGGATGCTGCGCGCTTCGATAAAGACTCCGAAAGACACACTTGGGAGGCTAAGCTACTTCAATCGGAGAGAACTGCATCAAAGGCATTGGTCGAGAAAGAGGAGCTGCGCTCGCGGTTGGCGAAGGTCGCTGATTATGATGAAATCCGCCGAGAGTTGGAGATGATCAGATCCGTTGAATTTGCAACTGGGGATGATGATGAGGCTGGAGATGGAGCTGAAGGCAAGGCGACTGGGGCTAACGGTGATGCGAGCAAATCGAAGGACAAGAACTCTCTGGAGCAACTCCTCATGGCCCGGAACAAAAAGTTGACAGATGACCTCACTCTTCTGCGGGTGTCCCATCGTGATATCCAAGGTCAGCTTGAAAACCTGCGGAGCGAGCTTTCCACCTCAAAGGAAGAGCTCGAGAAGTCTCGAAACCTTTCAACCACTCTTGAAAACGATCTTCTTCGCGTACAAGATGAGGCTGCAAACTCGTTCCCCTCAGGGGCAATGTCTGTTGCAGGAACATACACTTCCAGATACCCTCACTCTGCCCGCCGCGGTGCATCATCACCCACCTCCTCTATCATCTCCGGCTTTGACCAGGGCGCCGCATCCGCAAATACCATGGATGCAATTCGCGCAGGAGAGGCAGTAGGCGGCGGATCAGGGCTTCTACCAATGATCCAAGCGCAGCGAGATCGGTTCAAGAAGAAGAACGCCGAACTCGAAGAAGAAATGTCAAAGCTGTACGCTACCGTCAAATCTCTCCGACAGGAAGTTGCATCTCTCCAGAAGGACAATCTGGGCCTCTATGAGAAGACAAGATACGTCTCAACCTACAGCCGAGGCCAGGGCGCATCCACATCCGCAGCATCATATGCAAACACCCCCAGCTCCACCTCTGTGTATACATCCGCAGATACACCATCGGGACTATCCCTCGACCGATACCAGAACGCCTACGAAGCTCGGATCTCACCCTTCGCCGCTTTCCGAGGCCGAGAATCGACCCGTGCATACAAACGTATGAGCCTACCAGAGCGAATCGTATTCTCTCTCACCCGCGTCATCCTCGCAAACCGAACAAGTCGCAACCTATTCGCTGGCTACTGCTTTGCGCTCCACATTCTCCTTTTCGTGGTCCTCTACGTAATGAGTACCACGGAAATTGAGAAGCATAGCGCTATGAGCGCTGTTGGTAGCGCCGCCGCCGCTGCTTACGGTGGAGGTGGGGGTATTGGTAGTGGCACAGGCAGTGGCACGGGTCAGCTGCACGGCGATGACTGGCAGCAGGAAGGATTCCACTAATGTTCTATTTCTTGTTCTCACAGCGAGGGTATCGGAGTTCCATTTCCTTGTTTCTTTATCGATCATCTGTGGCGTTTGGGATTGAGTGCTCTCTCTATTCTTGGATGTGGGTCTAGCTGCGTCCTGTGTAAATTTGAGTTCTGGCAAATATATCTATCTGTATGCCTGTGACTAAGTTGCGTCAGGCGACTGTAGACTTCCGCGTAATGACGCATGGGGCTGGCCATTCCTGGGGTATGCATTGAAGCTCTTGTGACATGATCATCTTTAGCCGATCAATCTATCAATTGAATTCCATTTTTGTAGCAGATAGATAATCATACCTTTTGGCCTTCGCTTAAGCGTGCATTCCTTATTCAGGTCCACTGGCAAGTATTATGAGTGGCTTCCGATGCCCATGTGCTTAGATATAGAAATCCACCCATGCTCGCACGGTTAGTGTTACCGAGTACAACACACTGAACCATTCGGTAGGACGAAACTAGGGGCTATCAAGAAATGAATTTGATAAAAAAAGGCCTTGCTAGTCCAGATTCTGAGTAATGCTAAACGAATTTGGTTAGGAGGCAAAAGATTGAAGGCCCGAGCCGCGGATCGAACGCGGGACCTCGCGCAGGAGTGCTTAGGTTTTGGATACCCTAAGCGCGAATCATACCACTAGACCACCCGGGCTTCATGAAGTAAATATATGCGAGTTTAGAACTGATGAGCGGATAGTGAAAGTACATGAGGATAGATCCATTCCCATGTTGATTTTCGGATATCAGACAAAGTATGTCTCATTCACTTGTAGACCCCGCAACATTCATGGAAGCGACTAGTGCAGATAAGCGTAGATTCGGACAATTTCCTCGGATGTGGTGCATTAGTGTCGACACTCTGCAATGCAAGTATATATATCTTGGTGGCTTGGGTCGGTTAAATGAACCGGGTCCGAAAATGCCTGTTGACAAAAGCAGGAATTGGCTTTGACATAAATAGGTTAATTAAAGCGGAATGACGGATCAGGACTTTTCGGTGTAAGAAATGGCGTTTTCTACGCGCCAGTGCGTTCTAAAGGGTGCGGAGTGAGCCCAACCCCTCTCATCCCCTCCTCAACCAGCCCCCCTAAGAACTCCAAGGGACAAGGACAGAATACTCAACTTATGGCAGTTGATGGCAGGGCTGAAGAATATCTACCTGATACACAAAAGTACTAGTATTAGCCCATGTACAATGCCTGCAACAATTCCCCGAGTCCTGCACAAGGGCTCTAGGATCATGACCCAGCAATACCTCCGCATCTCTGCACACTAGCCTACAGTGGCAAGAATCCTGCGCATCTAATCGCCTAGCACATATGCTCTCCTCTTCAGTCAGATTTATTAATAGCCCGGGGAATTAATAGAGGCCTCCACATTGGCCCTTCGGTGCTGGTAGCTCTGCCGAACCGCCATTGGGGAACCCCGTTGTTTTGCTTAGCGCGTTGCTATCCTGATTAATCCAAAGTCGTTTGTGGCCGAGGACAAATCAGAGAGCAGTAAGGCTGGAGGAAGCAGCCCTGGGCGCGTCCATCTACCAATAAGAAATCGCGGTCGAGCCTTAACCCTTGCTAGTACCTGCAGGTTGCATCGATCACTCCGTTTATAGATTCAGCATTGTTTCGAGTCAGACGTGTGTTACTATCTTTGATGCATGCTTGAATTAGAGGATTCTGCAATTAACATCGCTTCTATATGTATCTCTGCTCTGACCCGAATGGATTCATGTCAATCCCTCCCTCTCCTGTCACTCCTTTCTTCACCACGCTCATCCCCGTTCCTTCATATCCGACCGAGTGCTACTCAAGGCTTGCTGGACAATCCTTAATATTATTTAAAAAGCCACCGCCGTTAACGATCCCTCTCCTCCTCCCAGCGCAAGGTGTCAGCAATGCATCTCATCTCTCTTCTCACCTGCCTGGCAGCAGTCTCACTTGCTGCCCCAACGAACTTCCTAGACGATGCATACGATTGGTCAGATGAGCTGGCTGACTTCTACGGAACAGTGAGCCAGTTCATCAGCTCCGCAAAGCACAACATCAGATCACCAGATGCTTGCGACATCTCCAAGATTGCTCTGCCCTCCTACGCCTCAGGTCTTCCCGGCCCCACAGGCTTGAAGCCAGTCTATGTTGCACTTGGACGTGGCACTCAGGTACGCGAGAATCTCGAGTATTTCAATTGAATAGTATAACTCACAATGCACCCAGAACTATACATGTGCGAGCTCTTCATCCAATACCACACCAGTGGCAGCAGGAGCCGTCGCAAGGCTTTACAATGCCACATGTCTCGCAGCCAACTACCCAAGTATTGTTGAGAAACTCCCGAGCATCGCATACAAGATTACTCTCCCGACCAACGAACTGGCCTCTTTCCCCCCTGCCAACATTGAGCTTATGGGACATCATTTCTTCTTTGATGCGACGACCCCGGAGTTCAACCTCAACACTACACCAGACAAGCAGGACGGCATTGTCATGTCGAAGAAGCAAGGTCAGATTGCTGCGCCTTCTGATGCTACCTCCGGGAAGTATGGCGCCGTTGCCTGGCTCTACCTCACCACCACTGATGGCACCATTGGCAACTACAAGAGTGTCTATCGAGTTGACACTGCGGCTGGGTCACCTCCAAAGACCTGCAAGGGTTTGCCTGCTGCATTCCAGATACAGTATTCTGCAAACTACTATTTCTTCGGGGAATGATTGGAATATTCTTGTTTTGTACATAGACCTCAATGGAGGTTACGACTATGAGTCTTGCGGGTTGGCCTTTGTCTCTTGTTACTTTCTATTCTAATGCCCAAGGGCGAAACCTGGCGTTATTTACGGAATATAACTACACTTTCAATTTCAATGATTAATCAACAACTTCATGCAGGGCTAAGATGTACCACGTGATCTCGCTATCGGCGACAGAGTATCACGTGATGATTCCACACGGAAGAGGAGCGCTAGCCCTAAAACAGACTAGCGCAGTTCTGATTTTCTGAAAGATCCCAAAGCGCAAAAAAATCTCGACCGCATCAACGAGCAGCAACGGTATCGACCCGCACCCGACAAACAGTCAGCGGCCAATTCTGTTCTAACTGCTTGATCCAGTAAACTCGGATCTGCAATCAATTTTTTTCATTCCTTCCTCGCCTCTCTTGGGACCGTTTCTTCTCAGTTTCCAACTCTACACCGGTTTGAGCCTTCGGAAACGACAGCTCAACCTCCTACCTCCCCTTTAACTCTTTCCAACCGAGTTTTTCTCCAAACCTATACAATGGCTTTCGCTCCCCGTGGCCGTGGTGGTCCCCCTCGTGGACGTGGTGGATTTGGTGGTGGTGACCGTGGACGTGGCGGTGGTCGAGGTTTGTTCAGTCCATCCGTTTGAAGCCGCAAGCTTGCGCATCGTTAGTGTCGCTGGTTCTACCAACTCGACACTCACGATATGCACACCGACTTGCGGGTATAATTCAGTTCACTTTGCTGATTCGAGTTCTTCAGGCGGTGGCCGTGGTGGTTTCGGCGGTGGTGACCGTGGCCGTGGTGGCCGTGGTGGTGGCCGTGGTGCCCCTCGTGGTGGTCGCGGTGCTCCCCGTGGCCGTGGTGCTCCCCGCGGTGGCGGCGGTGCTCGCGGTGGTGCCAAGGTTATCATTGTAAGTTTCTCAGAAAAATTCTCAGGGACATTGAGATCAGTCACTAACCGGGTCTTTTTTTCTTCTACAGGAGCCCCACCGTCACGCTGGTGTCTTCGTCGCTCGTGGTGGCAAGGAGGATCTGCTCGTCACCAAGAACTTGACCCCTGGTGAGGCCGTTTACGGTGAGAAGCGTATCTCCGTTGAGGGCCCTGCCAACGAGGACGGTGCCGTCACCAAGATCGAGTACCGTGTGTGGAACCCCTTCCGTTCCAAGATGGCTGCCGGTATCCTCGGTGGTCTCGATGAGATCTACATGAAGCCCGGTGCCAAGGTTCTTTACCTCGGTGGTGCCAGCGGTACCTCCGTCTCTCACATTGCTGATATTGTCGGTCCTACCGGTAACGTCTACGCCGTCGAGTTCTCTCACCGCTCTGGCCGTGACCTGATTGGCATGGCCACCCACCGTACCAACGTCATCCCCATTGTCGAGGATGCCCGTCACCCCCTCCGCTACCGTATGCTCGTGCCCATGGTCGATGTCATCTTCGCCGATGTTGCCCAGCCCGACCAGGCCCGTATTGTCGGCCTCAACGCCCACATGTTCCTCAAGGATGAGGGTGGTGTCATTGTCTCCGTCAAGGCCAACTGTATCGACTCCACGGCCAAGCCCGAGGTTGTGTTCGCCCGCGAGGTCCAGAAGATGCGTGAGGAGAAGATTAAGCCCAAGGAGCAGCTGACCCTTGAGCCTTTCGAGCGTGACCACTGTATCGTCGCTGGTCTGTACAAGCGTTCCGCATAAAGGTGATTTTTAATCTCTGGTCATGTCCATTCCCTTTTGATGTTCTCCTCGGCGTCTCGTGTTGTGATGTATCGAATTGTTTCCCCGTTTCTTGTGACAGGTTTTTACTGCCCATGTACTTTTGGCTGCGTCTCAAAATTTAGTTTCCATTTTCGAATTGTACACGCTGGAATGTGTCACTCTGTCTTGATCTGAGGTGATGAGATGGCTCTGGATGAAGTATGATATCCGCAGTAATTAGTGTCCAATTCAAGTGATTCCCAGCCTTGCTAGCCACTTCTATGCTTTCATGGTGTATCCGTAGCTTGTGTTGATAATGACTCTAGTCTCTTCAAGCTTTCCTGATCTACCGACTCCACATATACAGGACCTAGAATTAAGAGAGAAATTACCAATTGTGTTACAAATTATTTGGGTCCTTGTTGAGAACCTTCCTAGTACCTAATTTACCTACATAGACAATGCCTAATTGAATGAAATGACAGACTAATGCCGGTCAGATCACCCCTCAACTCTTCACTTTGCCAAACAGTCTTGACAAAGCAAACAAAATTCTTCTTCTTCACGAGGTAGTATAAGAGAACGCTTTTCAACCAGCTGATTGTTTGATCGAAGTGGTGTTCTTATGAATGCCCATCTTGTTCAAATAGCCACCACGATCCTTCATACCAAACTTTACAGATGCATCTTACCCACGGCTGAATATCAATATAGCGTATGAAATAGTGAAATAGATGAAATTACGGCCATAGCGTACGCTGATTTAGCCCAAGTATCCCATAACTTACCAAAGATCTTCATGTAGATCTTCCTACCATGATAGTAACTTGACAAAAGGATTCCTAGCCCATAATGCAGACCGAATCGTGGATGTTATAACGACAGAGATTGAACTGGCTGTTCAGGTGATGCTCGCTGAGTTTGCGACGGGTTCTTCTCTCTGCTTGCTCCTATATTTCCGAGCATCTTTTCCCATAGAACATTCAGCGTATAACGAATAATTTACACTATTGAATTAAGCCCTTGGGAGTTCTTCCAGTAAGTTGTCATTTTGTCAGATTAAACTATATGATAAAAGGTATGCTCTCTAACCTGAGGGTTGTCAGGGCTAAGCGTTGCTCTCACATGTAGACATCTCGGACTTGCGCCGGGCCTCCCGGCAATCGGATATCTCACCGAGGATCACCACAAAATGGATCGGAATTGATGCGTAACACTTGGCTCAAGTGGTCAAATGAGTAAAACATGATTCTATTATTGGTGGAGAGATATGTTGAAGCTGGAGCGTGGGGGAAGAGATGAACTCCGCCCCAACCCCGCAAAGCGTGGACGGCGACTATATAAAGGCCGAAAGGATGCCATGGTTTCTGGATCTACATAACTTATTCTTCTGTACTAATATCCTTGACCCGAAGATATAATCGATAGAAAGTACGTTCAACATGTCCATCCTCATCACCGGAGCTGGGGGCTACGTCGGCCAGGAATTGGCCGCGGGTCTGCTTGCAAGCACACCTGCTACAACAACCGTGACCATAACCGATATGGTCGAGCCCGAGATCCCAGAGTCAGCTGCACAGAATGCAAGCCGCCTGAGCACAGTCAAGGCAGACCTCACCTCACCCCAAGAGGTCGACGAATTGATCAACGAATCCCGCCCCTACGAAACAGTCTACATCCTGCACGGCATCATGTCCGGCGGCTCAGAGGCCAATTTCGAGCTGGGAGTCCGGGTCAACCTCGACTCTGTGAGATACATTCTCGACCGGCTACGCAAGACCATGCCCGGAACGAAAGTGGTTTTCACATCCTCATTGGCAGTCTACGGCCCTGCAGCCCCAGGATTCGTCATTGACGAGACAAATTTCCCACCCGTACCTTCATCTTCATATGGATCGCAGAAATTGATCGTCGAGACTCTACTGAATGACTACTCGCGCCGAGGATTCCTAGACGGCCGATGCGTGCGCCTTCCCACAGTCACAGTGAGAGCCGGAAAGCCTACACAGGCTGCTAGCAGCTTCGCGAGTGATATCATTCGTGAGCCGTTCCATGGCAAGAAGGCTATTCTCCCCGTAGCCAAGGAAACGGAAATGTGGATTTGCTCGCCGCATACTGTGATCAAGAACTTGATCCATGCTCGTACTGTTCCTAAGGAGGCATTTGGCGAGTCCAGATCTGTTAATCTGCCTGGATTGAAGGTCAGTATTCAGCAGATGTTGGATGCGCTACTGGAGGTCGGTGGTAAGGAGCGTCGGGCTCTTGTTGAGGAGAAATATGATGCTGCTACCGACAAGATCGTGCAATCGTGGACTCCGCAGTTTGATACTGCACGTGCTTTCAAGTTGGGATTCTCGGCTGATATTTCGATGGAGGAGAATATCAGACAGTTTGCCAGTCGATTTGTATAAGAAGTGGCTTTGTATAATGTAGCCAATCAATAGACATGAATTTGGATCGAGGGATATTGGTGATATTGAGGGAATGGAGCTGTAAAAGACATATAATATAATCCCCAAACCCAACCAAGCATAAACACAAGCCATTGAGATCATAAACATGCTCTTTGCCCCATAATGACAGCGCAAGGAAGTATTCGGGATGGGAAGGGCGGTTTGGAAAAGCGGGTCATGTGATTGGCTGGCGAAGACGAACAATTTCAGACTTCCGAACTTCAACCTCAGGGCGTCTCCATCAGCTCTTTTCTCCATCTCTTCCCCTTTCCCCTCCCTCTCACCTATAAAAGTCGTTCTCAATGGCTTCTCGGCGCCTAGCTTTCAACCTGAACCAGGCTCTCCGCAGCCGTGCGGCTCTTAAGTCCATCCAGCCCGTGAAGCGTGGCTTTGCGTCGCCGGTTGCGCTGCCGTCCACCACCCAGTCCACCACCCTCTCCAACGGATTCACGGTACGCCCAATCTTATCAATGCTATCATAGACTCGCTAATATGTGTCTAGATTGCCACTGATCACTCGCCATGGGCTCAAACCTCTACGGTCGGCGTGTGGATCGATGCCGGTAGCCGGGCAGAGACTGACAAGACCAACGGAACCGCGCACTTCCTCGAGCACCTCGCCTTCAAGGTCCGACACCCTCAGCTACAATCCTCGAAGCGATCTTCTGATGAATATATTTAGGGCACCAACAAGCGCTCCCAGCACCAATTGGAGCTTGAGATTGAGAACATGGGCGCTCACCTCAACGCCTACACTTCGGTACGACCGGGAAACCATCCATCAACCTATATCGAATCAATACTAATTGCGACCACAGCGTGAAAACACCGTCTACTACGCCAAGTCCTTCAACAACGATGTCCCCAAGGCCGTCGACATCCTCGCCGATATCCTTCAGAACTCTAAGCTCGAGCCCGGTGCTATTGAGCGTGAGCGTGATGTGATCCTGCGCGAGCAGGAGGAGGTTGACAAGCAGCTCGAGGAGGTCGTCTTCGACCACCTGCACGCCACCGCTTACCAGGGCCAGCCCCTTGGCCGCACCATCCTCGGCCCCAAGGAGAACATCCAGACCATCTCCCGTGACAACCTGACCGACTACATCAAGACCAACTACACTGCTGACCGCATGGTCCTGGTCGGTGCCGGTGGTATCCCCCACGAGCAGCTCGTCCGCCTTGCCGAAGAGCACTTCGGTGCCCTCCCCAGCAAGGCCCCTACTTCCGCTGCCCTCGCCCTCACTGCCGAGCAGAAGCGCACCCCCGAGTTCATTGGCTCCGAGGTCCGTCTCCGTGACGACACCATCCCCTCCGCTCACATCGCTCTCGCCGTCGAGGGTGTCAGCTGGAAGGACGATGACTACTTCACCGCCCTTGTCACCCAGGCCATCGTCGGCAACTGGGACCGCGCCATGGGCCAGTCGCCCTTCCTCGGCAGCAAGCTCAGCTCCCACGTCAGCCACCACAACCTCGCAAACAGCTTCATGAGCTTCTCCACCAGCTACAGCGACACCGGGTAAGTCACATACTTATATACTTAAACATCACACGCTAACTTGATACAGTCTCTGGGGTATCTACCTCGTCAGCGAGAACCTGACTCAGCTCGATGACCTGATCCACTTCACTCTCCGCGAGTGGTCTCGCCTCTGCAACAACGTCACCTCCGCCGAGGTTGAGCGTGCCAAGGCCCAGCTCAAGGCTTCCATCCTCCTGTCCCTCGACGGCACCACCGCCGTCGCCGAGGACATCGGCCGCCAGATCATCACCACCGGCCGCCGCCTCAGCGCCGAGGACATCGAGCGTACCGTCAGCCAGATCACCGAGAAGGACGTCATGGACTTCGCCACCCGCAAGCTGTGGGATCAGGACCTCGCCATGAGCGCCGTCGGCAGCATCGAGGGTATCCTCGACTACCAGCGCATCCGTGGAGACATGTCCCGCATGATTTCGTAATCTTGTCTAGAGTAAGATCGCGTTGTGAAAGATGACTGCTGAATGTCCCCTCGTGGATATCTTGGCGGTTTTGGTTTGAATGTACTATCAATCATTGCCTTGGGCTGTTAGATCCCAAATTCTGTGTGTGAAATAGCAATTAATGGTTTGCCATAGTAGACTATATAGTTTGTTGCCGAGGCAGCAAACGCACCAATTATTTCCTTTGTTTGTTCTATTTCTTTGGACTTCGTGTAGCTGTGTTCGCTGTAGTCTAGTTGTAATAGTAGGAAAAGGTAGCTAGTTCTAACTAGGTTAAAAAGCGAAGGTCGACCAGAAGGCTGTCTCGTAGTATCAAGTGATGTAGTTAACCCAGCCCATCCCCACTTTTCTCACTGCTTGAAATGCTTGCCTCGTCTTAACGTGGGCAATTTGCAGATGTAGATGACCATCCTGTGTTCTCTGCGGTAGTTGCAATATCTAGTGTCTCGTCAATTGAGTGTGGAGGCAGTGAGAATGCCGAAAGCCCCTCGCAGCTTGCAAGCTTGCCAAGTATGGTGTGTCGCATGGTCTCCCCGGATTCCCATCTCGGCATTTTAATGACATTGTATGGATTTCGTGCATCAGCCGCAAGCGCAAATCCAGATGTGATGGCGTGAGACCTCGCCAAACTCTAGCCGGCGACAGCTTGCTGGCCACTCGCATCTCGCTTGTCCCTCCGTTACGAAGAAAATTTTGATGTGATAAGACACCGAGATCTGGAAGATCACCGTAAACATTTGTCGTTCAATTCTCATAGAGCGCCTGTTGGTCGACCCACATGAGTCAACGATTCTTCCGGGCACGATGAAACGCGGAGCAGCGTAACATAGCTTCGATAGTACGATTTATATTCGATATGTAGACCTGGAGACTAACCAAGGCTCAAGGCGCAGGGCAAACATGTTGGCCAAAATGCAAGGCAGCACGTAAGTCAACGTCTCGAACTTTATCCCGCTCTAGATTGCCCCCGTCGGTAATGACTAAGCATGATAACGGGAGATTTTTTGACAGCAATTTCGGTCGGAGTAAAACGTCTCAAATCCCATCACACTTGAACAATGGGCAAAAGAGGAGGCAAGAAGGTATGGTTCAATCTATATGTCAATTGAGGGGCTCGACTGACCATCTTTCATACAGTCCGGTAGAGGTCGCGGCGGCGGCGGTGGTGGCAGTGGCCGCACGCGCTCTATTTGGCAGGATATCAGCAGAGAAAACGAGAAGTTCGAGCGCTATTACAATGAGCCTGAATTCCTCCCAGAGGAGGAGAGAGAAATCTTCTGGGCTACCATGAAGAAGGATCTCCCTAACAGCTTCCGTTTCACAGGTTCTCGAGGGTAGGCTATTACTACTTGCGCCTCGCGGGGACCAAGCAATACTGACTAACGCGCAATATACAGACACGCATTGGCTGTTCAGCAACGTCTCATTGACCACCACATTCCCGAGATCACCTCTATTAAGTATGAGGACCAATTCGTTGAGCCTCCTACCCCAATCTCGTGGTACCCGGATCAGCTCGCCTGGTCCATGACCACTCCCAAGAACATCATTCGACGATTCCCTCCTTTCGCCTCGTTCCAGAAGTTCCTTGTCGCCGAGACCGATGTCGGAAACATCAGTCGTCAGGAAATTGTCAGCATGATTCCTCCTCTCCTCATCGATGCTAGACCTGGAATGACCGTGCTGGACATGTGCGCCGCACCGGGCAGCAAGTCTGCGCAGCTTATGGAGCTGCTTCACGCAGGCGAGGAAGACTCCGTCGCGCAGGTTGCCGAGCAGGTCAAGAAGGGTGATGTTGGACCCGAACCCCTCGGCCCCGAAGGACTGAACGATGATGGCCGCAGCACTGGCTTGTTGATTGCCAACGACAGTGACTACAAGCGCGCTCACATGCTGATTCACCAGATGAAGCGCCTGAGCTCGCCTAACCTGATTGTTACGAACCACGACGCTACAATGTTCCCCTCCATTAAGCTGCCTCCTACGACCAATGCTGAGGGAAAGACCCAAAACAGATATTTGAAGTTTGACCGCATTTTGGCAGATGTCCCTTGCTCCGGTGATGGTACCGCTCGTAAGAATTACGGTGTCTGGAAGGAATGGATCCCTGGCAATGCTTTGGGACTCTACTCTATCCAGGCCCGCATTTTGGTCCGTGCTCTGCAGATGCTGAAGGTGGGTGGACGTGTCGTCTACTCCACTTGCAGTCTGAACCCCGTTGAGAACGAGGCTGTTGTCGCCAGTGCCATTGAGCGCTGCGGTGGTGCCGCCAATGTCAAGATCATCGATTGCAGCGCCGAACTACCCGGCCTCAAGAGAGCTTCTGGCTTGCGAAACTGGAAGGTAATGGACCGTGAGGGCCGTCTGTGGAAGAGCTGGAAGGACGTCGAGGAGCACCGTGACCAAGAAGGCGTCGACGGTCTTGCCAGACTCGCTGAGGGCATGTTCGCTCCCACTGGTGAGGGTGCTGATCTGCCTCTCGACCGTTGCATGCGTGTCTACCCTCACCAGCAGGACACTGGTGGTTTCTTCATTACCGTTCTCGAGAAGACTTCTGAGATTCGCGCCAAGCCGGAGAACACCAACGCCATCCCCAAGGCTTCTGTTGCCGCTCTCGCCGCTGAGCTCGATTCCAAGAAGGGAGACGGTGGAAATTCTCTGGAGAAGCTCGATTCTCTGGATGACCTGGTCGCTCCCGACCCAGAGGCTCAGGAGGAGGCCGCAAAGAACGCCAGCGTTGCTGAGGCCACTCACCAACTTCCTTATTCTGCTACTCTTGACGCGTCTGATACTGTCTCTCTCCCCAAGCGAGATGCGGGTGATCTTGAAGAGGAACTTCCTGCCAAGCGCACCAAACTCGATGATGGCAGCGAGGTTCTCATCGGTGACCGTCCAGTTCACCGTCCTGCGCCCTCAATGGGAACTGGAATCCCCGATGCTGGCGACAGCACACCCACATCCGCTGCTCCTGAGCAGTTGAAGAA